CTACGTGAAAGCCCCCCACACTTCAAGAAATCATGGCGTCCCACGCTGCCATGCTCTTGGACCCGAAAGGCTTCAAGAAACAGCTGCAGACCAATGGTAAGTTCTCACGCCTACCTCTTCTTCTGTGCCCAGCAATCTACAGCGGCACTGCGGAAATGTTCGCCCTGAATCTTCCATCTCATCGCTTCGCCTGTCTTCCCCCATCAGATCTTCTTGTCTTCGAAGTCCATGCATAGGACTCGGTTGAATCCTCCAGCTCACGTTTTCCTCAGGCGCATCGCAGGAAAATTCAAACCGATCGTCGCTCAGCTCTCCACCTTCGATTGCTCCAGCAGGAACTATTCCCTTCTCACGCCCTCACCCCCCTCACGCCCATCCTTCGCCGAAGATGGCCTCAACCTCGACTTTGCCACAGCGCGATATGAAACCACCCACAGCTTCGCAGTTGGGGGAACCCAAGCCCGATTCAGATATAAAGGTGCAATTTACGACTACAAACAATGACGGAAACGAGAGTGAGACGAAACGCAGTTACCACGATATCAGCGACAGCGAGGATGGTGCGCGTCCTGGTTCTCTCATCGAAGGCATGTTTGATGTGGAACGCCGCAAGAACCAGCCTGTCAAGAAGATCAAGACCGACGATCCTGCGGAGGACAAATCGTTGGCTCCTCAAAAAACAGTTGCAATATCTAGCAACTCGGGCCTTGGACAGTGGATGAAAGAAGGCGAGGCCAAATCCAAACCTAGCACCACTCCTGGTCCCGGCCTGTCTGATGTGGTGGATCTGACTGCAGGTATGAGATTTCGGATGGAAAAGATGGTTAGTAGAAACTAATAACCTGGCAGACCTCTCAACAGCAGCCCCGGATGACGACGACTTACAAGTCACTGGGTCGAACAACCTCAGCACCCAGCGGGTCTGTTATGGCAAGATCGACAACGCTATGATCAATGCAAGCCTGGTACCAAGACCACCGAACACCGCATTCATAGGCTCTTCGTATGATTGGCCGTCAATGAAGCTGACCACACGACGTGTCTCGGGGCCTGATTTTCGCATTGACGTCGCGGACCCTCATGGCAAAGTTTTCGGCATGGTGGATGCGAAGACTGCGCATGCGCTGTGTCCTCTTCTAGATTCTGAAAAGGTAAACCTGGAGCTGACTGCGCGTCTCGATTTTCGAAAGAAGGTGCCCGGCGAAGTCATCTGGAGCCCCACGTCTGGGATATACCGCGCTTCAATAAACCTCTATGGCGAGCGACAGTCTGCGGAGATGGTCGGCAATTTCCTCGGCCATCATAACGTTTGGCTGGGTACACCGAACTCCGTCGAGCAGGGAATCCCAGTCTTCAACCCTCATGCTGAGAGACGACGTGCCATGGCAGCGGCAGCTCAAGTGAACAACAACTCTGGGCGTGGACGACCGGGCTCAGGGATCAACTACGAGGTCCGCACAGCCGAAGAGGTCAACGACGCTGTGATGAAGATGTTCGATCAGCTTGTCAGTGCTGACATCCCGACTAAGGAGCCAACACACCATATCAAGACCCCCCTGCTGCACCATCAGAAACAGGCCCTGTGGTTCATGACGGAGAAAGAACAGCCACGGAAATTCGGTCCCAAGGAAGAAGACAATAATTCCCTATGGCGAGTTGAGTACCAAGCCAACGGAAAGCAACGCTACCGAGAAATAATCAGCGGGATCGTCATGGAAGAAGAGCCGCCACAGGTTTTTGGCGGTTTACTGGCTGACATGATGGGTCTGGGGAAGACCCTCAGTGTCCTCTCGCTGGTCACGGCCTCCCTCTTTACAGAGGCTCGAGAATGGGAACGTACGATTCCCTCTCGTGATCTCGTTCGGCGCTTCCCTGGAATTCGCAACACTCGTACGACGCTCTTAGTCGTTCCGTTGAGCACAGTTAGCAATTGGGTTTCCCAGATCAAGGAACACCTGAAGCCGAAATCGGTATCCTACTACGTCTTCCACGGCTCCTCCCGCACAAACGACGTGGATGAGCTTTCCAAATACGACATTGTCATCACCACTTACAGCATTGTCCTCAGTGAGGTCTCAGGACGAGGATCAAAGCGCGGAGTGAGCCCGCTGGCGAAGATGAATATGTTCCGGATTGTCTTGGATGAAGCACATATCATCCGTGAGCAGAACGCCGCGCAGACCAAGGCTGTCCTAGGTCTCTGCTCCCAGCGTCGGTGGTCGGTCACCGGTACACCCATCCAGAACCGCCTGGAAGACTTGCTGTCTGTCACCAAGTTCCTCAGCTTGTTCCCCTATGACGACCGGTTTCGGTTCAGCCAGCATATCCTGAGCCCCTTCAAAACTGGAGACCCAACCGTCCTCGCCAGCTTGCGAGTTCTGGTGGATTCGTTCACCCTGCGCCGTGTCAAAGACAAGATCGACCTGCCTCCCCGCGAAGACAAGATTATCAGCCTTAGCTTCACGGAGAAGGAACAGCAGCTGCATGAGTTCTTCCGCAACGAATCCCAGGTGATGATGCGCGTGATTGCAAACGAAACCAAAAGCAAAATGGGCGGCCGAGTGTATCACCATGTGTTGAAGGCCATGATGATCCTGCGGCAGGTCAGCGCTCACGGTAAAGAACTGTTGGGCGTTGAGGACCGGGAGAGGATCAAAGGACTGAGTGTGCAGGATGCGATTGACCTGGAAGAAGGTGCCAACGACAACACCGCCCTTGCTAGCGACAAGAAAGCGTACGACATGTTCCTCCTGATGCAGGAGTCTTCAGGCGACCAGTGCGCTCTGTGCAGCAAGCGCCTAGAAGAACCGCTGACAGCGTCTGGAGAAGTTAATCGCAAGGCTCCGATGGCGATTTTCTTACCTTGCTTCGACGTTTTGTGTCCCGATTGCTTTTCGGCCTGGAAGCAGACCTTCGACACGCAGGAGGGCGCTGATATCAAGTGCCAGGTCTGTGACGGGTGGATTCCTGTTTCCTACTCGACGATCACCCCTGCTGGCCTGCAACATCATATTACCACGGAACAGCAGAGCCGCAAGCAGGGCAAGACTTTCGGAGAGTACGAGGGCCCCCATACCAAGACCACCACGCTGGTGAATCACCTCCAAGACATCGCGGCTGAAAGCGAGGCCCTGACAGACGAGCCCCCGATCAAAAGCGTGGTCTTCTCCGCCTGGACGTCCCACCTGGATTTGATCGAGGTTGCACTGCGCGACAACGGAATGACGGGATTCGTCCGGCTCGACGGAACAATGACCCTCGCCGCACGCGGCAAGGCCCTCAACGCCTTCGCCAAAGACGATTCCATCACCATCCTTCTCGCTACCATCGGCGCCGGGGGCGTTGGCCTCAATCTCACATCAGCGTCGCGGGTTTTCGTCATGGAGCCGCAGTACAACCCAGCGGCAGTGGCCCAGGCCATCGACCGCGTCCACCGACTCGGCCAGAACCGTCCCGTGCGGACATACCAATTCATCATGAAGGGCAGTATCGAAGAGAAGATCCTCGAGCTGGCGAAGAAGAAACAGCAGCTGGCTGATATGAGCATGAACCGCGGCAAGCTCGATAAGCGGGAGGTCCAGGAACAGCGCATGAGTGAATATCGCAGCCTGTTCAAGTAGCTTCCCTCCCTCCTCCATCTTCATTTTTCTCTGAATTCCTCCCCCCTCTTGCTTCAGTGCATCACATCCCTACCTTCCAGACTGCCGCTTCGGTTTCCTCTGGTGGGAAACATCATGAGGTCCAGAGTCTGCGTTTCTTTCCTCTCCTGTGCTGTTTTTGATATGCTTCATTTGATACCCGGCAGGACAAACGGAGGTTTTTCACATATGGCGCTTTTTCCTTTTCATCTGTTTTGTTTTCGCCTTGAGCTGGACATCTACTATACACGCCTGGATACATGACTAGATCGAGTTTCATCATATCAATTTGCATGCTGCATAGTTTTGAATTTTCGTTCCAAAAGATAACGAGCAGGTCTTGGTATTAGATAGTGCCATGAAACATATCCTCCTTCCGAGGATCCAAAACATCCTCCATAACGCCTAGACCCATGCAAATAAAAGAGATAGAAAACGCATCCCCCATGGAGATCTGGATCTGGCTGATATCAATATGTATCCCTGATATCAAAACAAACCCCATCATCCCCGGAATAGCCTGATTACTTCTCACGCTCCCTCTCCCCATAAACACCCACCGCCACCGCACCAAGCACACCCTCCAGCCTCCCCCTCAACCTCCTCAACTCCCTAGCCTTCAAAACCCGCTCCCTCTCCACATCCCTCAATTCCACCTCCAACTCCCGGATCTTCGCCTCCTGCTCCGCCTCGGAGGCCCCGATCCCGGGGAGTACAGAGATCAGGTACTCGATCTGCTGCTCCTTGATAATCAGATCGCGGGCGAGTTCGCGCTGGCGCGCTGCGAAGGTACGAGGGGAGTCTGGTGCTGGTAGGTGGTTGGGGTCTTCTCCTGCTCCGGCCCCTGCTCCTGCGCCGGATTGTTGGTTTTGTTGTTGTGCGAGGGGAGGGGATGTTTGTCCTTGTGCCGCCGTTGCACCGGCGCCTGTGGATGCGGCGATTGAGGCCGGGATTGGAGGGGAGGTGGAGTTCTTGGGCATCTTTGCAAGTGCGGGTGCGGCGTTCGGGATGCCGGGCGGTGGTGTGGCGGGGACATTGTCGTGGTAGGTTGTTAGGTAGCCGAGTGTGGCGTAGAATTGGGTTGCGAGCTGTTCTTGAGGTGAGTATGTATGCCGTGGTTGTTAGGAAGAAGGGAGGAGGGAGACGAACTTGGTCGAGGCAGGTTTGGAGCTGGGTGAGGATGTCGGCCATGGTGCCGAGTTGGGGTGGGTTGTGTGTCTCAGTGGAGAGGAGAGAAAGGTAGAGAGAGGATGGTGAGGAAGTTGGAGTGGTGGGATTGAGAAACCAAGGACAATCAATGCGATGCGGAGAAAACGAAGCTCTCCAATGCGGTGAGGCTCATTCTTCCCTCTACACACCTCCATGCGACCCCTACGCCTCCGACTACATCATGCCCAGAAGCTCGCTCCACGTCCTCGACTACCGATAACACACTTTTCAACATGCGCAGCCCGTCATGACCTACATCCATTAACCCGGCGCCTCTTCAAGTTCCCCTCCGCCCCAACACCCTCCACGCACCACCACGACCTCCCGAGCTTCCTCTCCTACGCTGAGCGCATCTCCCTCCCGCAAACAAGCACCGTCTACGTTGGCACGCACTATGAATACACCGTCCTCCACAAACTGCGCCAATGCGCGCTCAACCTCCACCGCGTCGGCGGGCGCGACGATGCAGGCATCGACCTAGTGGGGACCTGGCACCTCCCCGAGCGAGAGCGGGAGCTTGCCCTGCGCGTCGTGGTGCAGTGTAAATCCCTGAAAACCAAACTGGGGCCGAACCTCGTCCGTGAGCTGGAGGGTGCGCTGCGCAATGCGCCGGTGGGGTGGCGCACGGAACAGACGGTGGGGATGCTGGTTAGTCCGCGCGAGGCTACGAAAGGGGTGCGCGATGCGATGGCGCGGAGTGGGTATCCGCTGTTGTGGATGATGATTGAGCGGGATGGGACGATGCGTCAGGCGCTTTGGAATGCGAGGGCTGAGCTGCTGGGGCTGGAACCGTTGGGAGTCGAGACGAGGTATACCGGTGGTGATGGCGGTGGGGATCTGTCGGAGAAGGTGTCTGCGGAGGTTGCCTTGACCTGGGACGGGGGCGATATTGGGGATATGGACTACGTGGAGCAGACCCTGGCTCGTGCGGAGGACCAGTGGGCTGCATCGTGGGGGGTGGCTCCGTCTGAGAAGGCGGCGTTGTTGGATGCCATTGAGAGCCTATTTCCGGAGAAGAGTATCTCTTCCGGGCCGGAAGGGGTATCTGCATCTGATCGGATGAAAGTCTTGCAAATGATCCAGGAACGGGCACGACAGAGGCCCGGGGAATAATGTAAAAATAGCGGTATGATTCATGACCTGACAAGAAAGACTCCAAAGGGTATAATAATTCCTCCATTCCAAACGCCCCTATTAACCAATCCAATCCCTTTATCCTTGTATCGTCTGCCACAAGTAGTTGGCATAGAAGAACCGCGAGAACTTGGGGTCGATGTTGACGACGTGCACGTCTCCCTTGCGACTATTGCGAATGACGGCGCGGTTGAAGTTGCCGGCTTTGTCGGGCTCGATATCGACTCCGAGCGAGCGATAGATCTTCAGACGCAGACTGGGAAAGAAGTTCGCGTTAGTAACTCTCCAAAACTTCAGGACGGTCAACTCACATGGTCGCATCATCCGCCTCACGCTCCCGGCGCGTGGTCTCATCGCCCTCCAAACCCTGCGCCTCCAGATCAGCCAGTCTCTCCTTCAGCATCTCCAGCTCGCTCTCGAGGCGCTCGCTTTCAATCTCAAGCTCGGAGGCAGCCTTGGCGATGCGGAACTTCTTCGTGTCGAGCTCGACGATCTCGGCGGCGTGTTTGCCGGAGTCATGGACCGCGACGGCTTCTTCGTGTTGTGTAGTCAGGGAGTGGAGGTTGCGCGAGAGTTTGCGGAGGGCTGACTCGGCGTCGTGGATTCGTAGGTCGCGCGACTGCTGGAGCGTGCCGAGGGAGTCATTGATGCGCGTGACAGCTTGTCGGTCCGGGTGGATGTTGAAGTTGCCGATGGTGTGGTGGATCAGCTGTCCGAGTTAGAATAGATCAGGGGGTGAATTCAACGGGAATACATACAGTAGCGGGCTCCTCGTCGAGCAACATGGTGAGTGTGTGTGTGTGTGGTGGTGGGTGTAGAGTGGTGTGGTGGGGGAGATGGTCCAGTTGAGGTTTGTTTGGTTGCGGCAGCAACAGCCACTGAGAGTTGTTGGCACCGCCCGGCTGATCTTCTTCCCTCCCCCCGATACTTGCTCTTCTGTCTTTGACACACTCACACCACTTTGACATATCCTCCAACATGACAAGTCTTCCATGTGCGTCTATTCTGCTGCTCCCATGCTCTATCCCGTTTACTAACCACGTGTCGCAGACGCCGCCGATGCGGAAAGGTCCGTGGAATATTCATCGCTGAAGCCTGACGCAATATCACTGACCACCAGTTTCCAGCCCATTGAAGCCAGCCGAGCTCCAAGTCCTGCGGGCACAATATGAGAAGGAGGGCGACTATGTCGGAATTCAAACCAAGTTCAACTACGCATGGGTATCTATCACCCTCCCTCTCTCTCGTCTCCGACCTAAGTCTTAAGGCATTCGTTATGCGCCATCGCTAACCTCATCCGCCACCAACAAACAGGGCCTGATCAAATCCAACACCCGACATGACCAACAAGAGGGCGTCCGCCTCCTCTCCGAAATCTTCCGCGCAGCCCCTGAGAGACGGCGCGAGTGTCTGTACTATCTCGCGCTGGGCAATTTCAAGTTAGGCAACTACGGCGAGGCCCGTCGGTACAACGACCTGCTACTTGAACATGAGCCAGCCAACCTGCAAGCTGCTAGTCTCGGATCGTTGATTGATGACAAGGTGGCCAAGGAGGGCCTGATGGGCATCGCGATCGTGGGTGGCTTGGCTGTGGCCGCCGGCGTGGTGGGCAGTCTGGTTCTCAAGGGAGCTCGAAGACGGTAGACGATGCAAGGCACACTGTGAATAGTAATGTGGTTTGGGGGTCTACGATTGTCTTGGGAGCATGCGACGGCGTTATTTCTTTTGTTTAACTATCTTGTCTTTCTTCTCTGTCACTCTACTCTACGCTACTCGCCCCTACGGGTGTGTGTGTTGCTACATAACTAACGAAATACCGAACTATCGTATATGCCTCTCACCGATCATTATAACATCGAAAACACGAAAACAAACCCCAAAAAAGGCATCTGATAGTTCTGATAGTGATTGGGCTGCCTTCTATTAGCCACGGCGTTGCCTCATGATCCACCGATTTGCCTGGACGCATCAACGTCATTCCTTCTTTCTCCGGTTCTTCTTCTTTTCTTTTTCAACCCAACCTCCCGATTCTCCCTCCGTTGGTTTTCTTTCACTTCGATAATGTACCTGGAGAGCATCATCTCGTCCCACCGACTCGTGTGCCACCCGAGCTAGTCCTCTTGAACCTCGGCCTTCTAATCAGCTTCGCATCTCAACTCTTATCGCGCCCCGCGGCGCGCGCCTGCACCACCCGCATTTGCACCACCGACACTCTCCACCTCTCACGATCCCACCATGTCTGAGACCGGTGACCGGATGTTCTGCCACGCCTGTGGCGGAGTCTGGTTACGAGATGAGAGCGGACTGACGTGCCCGCACTGCGAATCCGACTTCACAGAGATCGTACGACACCCTTAGTGTAGTTCCTTGTGGATTGTTTTTATTTTCTAACGCCTCTAATCTCTGCAGATTGAAATACCCCCGGAAGAAACCCACGATGATCCGCCAGAGCTAGAACCCATCGATCACACATCGCCACACCGTTTCAACCCACTAGACCCTCTAGCAGACCACAACCCATGGGCGCGGCCAGATAGCCCGGAACGGGGAGAGTACGGTGGCAGCTCCTTCGCCGGTGGTGGATCACCCACCTACTCCCGTCGCTTATATCGATCACCCGATGGCCGGTTCACCTTTAGCAGCACAACCATTGGCAGCGGATCTTCGCCACGCCAGGGAGGCGGGCAATCCAATCCTCTGGTTCCGATGATGGTGCGGAGCTTGGATATGATCTTCCAGGGTCTCGCAGAGACCTATCATCATCCGGGACGTCAAGGAGCGTCCGAGGATTCATTACATACGGGCTCGCCAGGCTGGGGCGAGTCTGACTCTCCCCGTGCAAGTGCCTCGCCTGGTGCAGAAGGCTTGTTCCCGCGTGATGCAAATGGTCCACAGCCTATGGCCCCGCCAGTGGGGAGTCTGGCCGAGTATGTTTCTTCTCTTGATATATGAGCCTCCTGGCTGATTTTCGTTCAGGCTGTTGGATGCTTTCCGGACAGACTTCGGGGCCACAAGGAGAGGTGGCGTCGGCGGCGCTCGCGTCATGACTGGCCCGAATCCTCTTGCGATCCTCTCGGCATTGTTCAATGCAGACCACAATGGAGACGCGGTTTACTCCCAGGAAGAGCTGGACCGGGTGATTTCACAGTTGATCGACCAGAATGTCAATGGTACGGCACCCCCACCGGCGTCAGGGACGGCAATCCAGAGTCTGCCAAGAAAGAAGATAGATGACCAGATGATGGGGACGGATGGCAAGGCAGAATGCTCGATTTGCATGGAGGCAGTGGAACTCGGCACAGAAGTCACCGTGTTGCCCTGCACGCATTGGTTTCATTTTCCCTGCATCGAGGCATGGCTGAACCAGCATAATACCTGTCCGCACTGCCGGCGGGGCATCGATTCTGCCGGAGGGTAAGTTTCAGAGCCGATATAGAGAAGGGTTCCTAGCTGACACGCATATCTTGAACAGAACCGGCGCAGGCACTAGCGAAAACCCGGTTGTCTTTCCAGATAGTCCTGAACAAGTGTCCCCTCAGCGACGGCGCAGCTCTATCTTGACTGTCCGCAGTGGCCGTTCTTCGAGGTCTGCCGAAGCCAGGGAGCCGGCCTCTCGACGGACCAGCCGCAGCGATAGCAACCAAGGTGGAGGTGGAGGGGGTATCACGGGCTGGGTTTGGAGCCGATTTGGTGGAAGCAGCTAAACCACTATCGTTGGGCCTCTCCTACTTTTCTACACGGGGTGGTACTGTCTTTCCCCTACATACTGGTTTCATTTCTTCGGTTCTGGTTCAGCGATTCAAGGTGTCATGGCTCATTTCTCTTTATCATACCCCTAGCAGCCTCCCTGCTGGTAACCAACCCCTTTGGAAATGGGGTTCTTCTCGGTGAGCTGCGCGGTCCTTGTACATATCCCTGTCTGTTATGAGATACAGTAACATGTCAATTGTAGTCATTCATGAAGGCATCCTCGCGTAATTAGTTAATTGATCTACTGTGGTTATATATCAAGCCTTCCCTGTCTAGTTCCGATACTCCCCCTTCGCAGCACGCTCACACAAATCCCGCAGAACACCACCCAGCCACTCGAAATCACTCTTCTCCAGATACACCTGAGCACTCAGCCGAACCCACAGCCACGGGCCGTGGGCAAAAGGCGGAACAAACGTCTTGTACTGATCCATGAGTGTACGCTTGATCCACCCCTCCACGAGGGTCGCATCTTCCTCGGAGAATGTGGCCAACGGCTCCGGTTGTTTCACCTGTTCCTCGCCGGAGGCAATAGCAATGGCAAGAGGCAGCCGGACCGTGGTCATGGTACACCTGCGCATATTGCTGATCTCGCCGGGCTTGAGATCCGGTTCCTGGAGCACATCCGTGCCCAGCGCGGCGGAGACGGCGTCGGCAGCTTCATTGGCGAGACGCTCGCAGTACGAGATGATGGCGTCTTCGCCGCCGCAGACTTCTGCTCGGAATTTCAGCGCCGCGGGCACGCACAGGTACGCCGAGTCGTCGCTGGTGGCGACGAATTCGAACAGTTCCTCGAACGGACTCTTTGTCACTGGTGCCTGGGGGTCTTTCAGGACCGAAGCTTTGGTCTGAGCTGATGTTGGCGCGGGAATGAACCCCCAGGAGGTTGGGAGGGTCGTCCGCATAAAATGCTGGTTGCGCTTGGGAACGTAGAGAACCGCTGCGCTGCGGGGGGTGTAGAGCCATCTATAAATGTAGGTTAGCCTGAGGCGGAGGTTCTTGACTGGGGATTCCATACTTGTGGCAGTTCGAGGTGAAAAAGTCAGGCTGCAGTTTGCTCAGATCCAGATGGATATTTCCAATGCCGTGAGCTCCGTCAATGACACTGAGGATCCCCTCTTCGCGACAGATCGCCGTGAACCGCTCAAAGGGGAAGCGGACGCCAGGGTTACTGACGATGGTATCAAAGACCGCCGCGCGGACCGTGAGCTTCTCAGCCTCACGGGCGTGGCGCACGACCTCGCGGAAGCGGCGCACCAGTTCATCCTCGGCAATGGGGAACTGAAAGGCCACTTTGCGACCCTGGACGCCGTTCAATTCATGCAGGGAGATGATTCCCCGCTCGACAGCCCCGTAGACGGGGTCAAAGTAGACGATGGCTTCATTGGACTTGAACGCGAGATTGTGCAGCACCGTCGCAACGCCCGTCGTGGCGTTCTTGACGAACACGCACTCATCCGTCGGGATATTCAAGAGCTTGGCTGTCGCCTCGCGAGCCGCGTCCAGGTATGAGACGTGCTGTTGGCGCACGTAGATATCTGGACTTGCGTCGGCGATATCCAGGAATTTGCGCTGGGCGGCGCCCACCACCGCTGGATGTGCGCCGAAGGAGCCTGGTCGGAGTTAATTAAGCATCTTCCGATCGATCTCGTGGGCGAGAACATACCGTGGTTGAGGTTTTTGTAGGCGGGGTCAAAGAGCCAATGCTTGAGCATGGGCTTGCCAAAGGGCGTCAATTGGTCTTTTGTCGTGTCGTTGATAGCCAGGTCGGCCATTGCGCGGTCCATGTTGATTGTCCCAATGGAATAGCAGTTCGAGGTATGAAGACGGCCAACTTGGCTGTGATCAATAGTCGTTCGAGGTGGTCTGCATGAGTCAGAACAAAGGTTTTCGGCCCTACCCGACGACAGCCGCGACCTCGTATCGACCCGGAAATGAAGGCTACTATGGTATGGGATCTATATGTTCAAGATCCAGTCCCATCATCATGGTAGTCCCTCCGGCTTAGCGCACCCCCAGCACATTCAGCCGACCTCGGCGCGCGGGATAAACGCCATGACAAACGTCAACTACGGCCCGGAATCTTACAGGATTATCGTTGGCCAAAACAAACCCATAAAATCGGGGGACGGACAGACAGGGAAAGAACCATTATGCCCCTCGGTTCATTATTGTACAGATCACTTGGTCAATTGTGATCAGTCTACTGTCAGGCTTCGGCTGTCAGAGCAGGGATACGGTGGGACCCGTTAGGCCAGACAATGGCGGGATCGGCAAATTACAATTTCGGCCAGGTTTGGCTAGTAGTGCGTAGCAGAAAGCTTTATCCTCGTACTTTCCTCGATGATTGGCGCCAGATATGTACAGTCGACTGTTAGCCCCGCTGCCTGAACGGCTCAGTTTATCACGAGCGAGTGAACCGGTAACCTGCGGGGGGCCTTGTTGCTCTACTTGACTTTATCATTGACCGCGGTGCCCACTCCATATGCCCGGTCCCTTTTACAATCGTTCCGTGTACTATATTGGATGTACTGTTTGCGATGTCACCGTCATCTACCTTTGATCCATGCGAAGAGCTGCTACCGACGATCGTGGACCATAATGCCGCGGTCCACCCGGACAAGGTGTACGCCGAGTACCCCCTCTCGCCCACCAGTTACGCGGAAGGATACCGCAAAATCACCCATCAGGACTTGGCAAATGCAGTCAATGGCATCGCTGCCTGGCTAATTGGGCACCTTGGTCCCGGCTCCGGCGAGAAACTGACCTATATCGGACCGAATGACCTCCGGTACCCTGCCCTGGCCGTTGGCGCCCTCAAGGCGGGCTATTGTGTAGGGATTATCGCTTCTCGACAAATATTGATACTGATAGAATCCCTAGATGTTCTTCACCTCGCCTCGGAACAGCATCGCCGGCCACGCGAGCCTCCTGAAACGATTACATTGCAAGACTCTGATCTCGCCGAGCCCGCGGCCGGCGCCCATCACGGCTATCGTTGAGGCGGTCGATGGGGTGCAGGTGCTTGACGTAGCCAGCGTGGACGAGCTTCTGGAAGAAGTGTTTCCTCATGTTCCATACGAAAAGACCCTCGCGACGGCAGGGGCAGAGCCACTGTTTGTTATTCACACCTCCGGGTCGACGGGGATCCCCAAGCCAATCATTTGGACAAACGCAGCCGGCGCGAGTGCCATGAGAATGACAGACCTGGAACCGCCGGAGGGTTACGAATGTCTGCATCGGATACAGAAGGGCAAGCGGCTGTTCATGATGTTCCCTCCTTTTCATGTGAGCAATCCCGGAGCAAAATGTCCGACCAAATACTAAATTCGCATGAAGGGCGCTGGTCTGGCCAGCCACTTGTTCAACGCTATTCCCTTCGGCACGGTGATGATCCACCTCGCAACCGCCGGCATTCCAAATGCTGCCGGCCTGGTCGAAGGACTGAAACAGACCCCCGCGGACGGGGCCTATATCGTTCCATCTATCATCTACGAACTGAGTCAAAGCCCAGACCTACTGGACTACTGCGCCAAGAACATTGAGATGATCATCTACGCTGGTGGGGACCTTCCACAGGCCATTGGAGACACAGTAGCGAAGCGGATCCCAGTGTACAACCAGTACGGTGCCACCGAGCTGGGCCTGCTCTCAATGGTGCTGTCTAACCGGGCAGTCGAAGACTGGGGCTATTCGGAGTTCCATCCTGACCAGGGCGTGGAATTTCGGCCTGTCACAGACGCACAGCACGAGCTGGTCCTGGTGAACCATCCCAACCGTGAGCGGCACCAGGTAACCTTTTTGATTGAGAATTTTAAGCAGCTGCAAGAATACAACTCTCGCGATTTATTTGTGCGGCATCCGGACCCCAAGAAACGGCATCTGTGGAGGTGGAATGCGCGCAAGGATGATATCGTTGTCTTTCTCAATGGAGAGAAGACAAACCCCATCACGATGGAACAGAACGTCACAGCGCGCAACCAGCGGGTCACCGGCGCACTGGTGGCCGGGGCACAGCGCTTCCAGGCTGCGCTGGTTGTCGAAGCCGCCACGGACGGCAAGGTCTTGACTCCGACTGAGCGTGCCGCGCTGCTAGAAGAAATCTGGCCTAGCATTGAGGACACGAACCAGGAGACACCTGCTCATGCGCGTATTGCCAAAACACATGTTCTCTTCACACATCCGGATAAGCCGTTCCTTCGTGCTGGAAAGGGGACGATCCAGCGAGCTGGGAGCTTGGCCTTGTATGAGGAAGAGCTCGATGCACTCTATCGGGAAGCTGAAACCGTGGCCGTCCAGCCTAATGGCGATACTGTGCATGGTCCTGGGAGGAATGCAGACCGCGAAGCTGTCAAGCAGTTTGTGTCGGAGACGATCGTCTCGTTGATGCGCTGGACCGACTTGAAGGACGAGGACAATATCTTCGTCCGGGGAATGGACTCCCTGCAGACCATCACTGCCGTCCGCATCCTCCGACATGGGCTCGAGATGGCTGCTATCTCGGTGCCATTGATCTATATGAAACCATCCGTCTCTGACTTGACAGATGCCATCATGGGACTCAAAGAGAACGAGCCTGTCGCAGCACGAGCGACCAAGGACAGTCGACTGCGAGAGAGATCGGAAATGCTCAAGCATTTCCAGGGCCAGATCGACCAAATCCCCAAGTCGACGCCTGCCACCCGCTCCATAGAGAAACATTCTGTGATTCTCACTGGCAGCACCGGTGTTCTGGGAACATACCTCCTCGACACACTCCTGAACAACCCATCTGTCGCTCACATCTACTGTCTAAACCGACGAAAGGACAGCCGCTCTGCGCAGCTCGAGTCCAACAAGACCTGCCATCTAAGCACAACCCTCGACTTCACGCGGATAACCTTCCTGACAGGGGATCTATCCAAAGAGCATTTCGACCTCCCGGCCGAAACATACCAGACCCTCCGCGATACCGCAACGATAGTCATCCACAACGCCTGGCCAGTCAACTTCAACCTGAGTCTCTCGTCTTTCACACCCCAGCTCCAGGGCCTCGTCAATCTACTCTCCTTCTGCGCCAGCGCAGCATCTCCTCCTCCCCGTCTCTTCTTCATCTCCTCCATCAGCTCGGTAATGGGCCACCACACCGAGTCTGGAATCATACCAGAAGACAACGTGGTCACTGACACTCCTGGTCCGAATGGGTACGCCGAGAGCAAGTACTTATCCGAGCAGCTACTCGCGCACGCCGCCAGCAAGCTATCCCTCCCGCTATCCTTTGCACGCGTGGGCCAGATAGCAGGCGCGGCAAGAAAGCCAGGCCTCTGGAACAGAGCCGAGTGGTTCCCCAGTCTGGCGCTCAGCTCGCGGCATATCGGCGCCATACCGGATGTGTTGGGTCCAAGCATGAATCGCATTGACTGGGTGCCTGTTGATCTGCTCTCAGAGGTACTAGCCGATCTGGCCCTGAATGAACGCGACGCGACTGGCTCTGTCGAGGTGTTCCACCCTCATAACCTGCACTCACAATCGTGGTTATCGATTCTGCCGGCGGTGCAGCAGGAGCTGTCTTCTGGGAGGGACAAGGAGCTGGAGATTATCTCCCTTGAGGAATGGATTGTGCGTGTTCGGAGGGATATGGAGGAGAAGGGTAGAGCTCAGGATACGGATTTGGAGACATTGCTCCGATTAAACCCGGCTGTGAAGCTGTTGGACTTTTATGAGGAGCTTGATGCTCAGAGTAAAGAACAGTCTTTGCAGGCTAATGTCTTCGACACATCTCGGACCGCGGGGTGTAGTAAGGCGCTGCGTGCTGTGCCGGCAATTGAAAAGGGGTGGATTGTGAAATGGATAGGAGAGTGGATGGATGCTTCGGAGTGAATAGTCCCAGATATATATGGCCAAATTGTGTTAGTCTCAGAAGTGAGTCTTGAAACCGTATTTTGAAACGATGAATGGATGACATTGTCTATTGTTCCTCCACTGGATAACAATATCACGGAGTACTGGTGTTTATTGCAGGCAAGGCAAAGAAAGTCAGGAACGCAAAGACCGTAGTTGACCGATAGAAAAAAGGTCAATGTGCTCAAAGTTGTGAAAAATCCCCATCATTCCGTCTCAACCTTGACCCCAGTTAGAGGGCACTGCTCTGCTCCACGGTCCGGCCACAGCACACGGGGAAGAATTTCGACCAGAACTCGTACACCTGGGGTCGTTTCTCCTTTTCGGTTACCAACCAGCGAGCAAACGGCGCTTCGGTCTGGAATGGGTTGGGGCTTCGATAGACAGCCACCTGAGACAGATTAGGGCATGGACTTCGAAACAGAAAGGACAACTCACCTCCTCATACCGCTTCAGCGCCTCATGGTACTTGTCCGAAAGACCAAGGCTCCAGAGGGCATCAATACGAATACGCCGCGCCGCAATGCTGTACGCCCGAGAGAGCAGATCCCGTTCCACGAACAAAGCATCGCCAACGGAGATCCCACCTGGCAACCTGAGGCATTGGCGTGTACACACCACCTCAATAAGACGAGTGAGCATGTCCGCTTCCCAGGTCTCGAGGAGCGGGTGGTGAAACGCTTTGATGTGTCGATGCAGAAGGAAGAGCTCGCGCTTCAGCCGAAGCGAGTTTACCTGCAGCTTTGCGACCTTGTGCTGGATATTGGAGTTGGTCGCTTGCATCATGGCGTGGGAGCGACTGTAGCGGTTCTGGGTCTATTTTTAGCGAGCGTTCTGTGGGTTATGCCTCTGGGGTTTATAGTTACGAAAGTTCCCTCGTAGTCCCGAGCCTGTGAGGGATCGTTTGGTAGGGGAACTGGGCCGCTGGTGCGGGACATGGTGTGAGGGAGTCGTGGATGAGATACTGAAGCTGGACGGGAGATCATGACGAGAAGGATGGATATACAGGGACAAGTAAAGAAAGGAGAGTAGCTGGTCTGTAATGAGTGTGTATTTCAACAGTGTTAACAGAGAGTGTGCTGTCTGGAAAGAGAAGCCTTAGGGTCACGACAAGAAGGCACGATCAGATCTACAGCTTGCTGGCCCCGGAGCTGCCGAATTCCACCACCAACTTGCCAAATTGCTTGCCCTGCTTCATATCCTCAAACAGCCCGTCGATTCCGGCCAGATCCTCCAGGTCCGTCTGCAACACACGCGACACCACCGGATGGATCTGGTGAGTCTTGACAAACTCCACCATCTCCTTGAACTCCTTGCGAGAGCCCATGGTCGAGCCTCGCACATCGATGTTCTTCAGCACTGCCTGCATTAGGAAGGGCATCTTGGGAGACACCGTCATGCCATACACAGAGAGCACACCACCCGCCTATTGATTGATGTTAACACCATCCCCCCGAATCGTTACAGATCAAACTCACCTTGAGTAACTTGGCGGCCTTCTCGATGGAATCACCACCGGCACCGTCGATAATGGCATCGAAGTTCTTCTTGCCCGAGGGCAGCATCCCCAGAAGCTTCTTGTCCCATCCTTCCTCTTTGTAATTGACACCCCCCTTGGCTCCCAACTGAACAGCCTTCTGGATCTTCTCCTCACTCGAACTCGTCACGAAGACATCAGCGCCTCTGGCAGCGGCAAACCTCAGGGCCATCAGTGCAACGCCTCCGCCAATGCCAGTCACTAAGACAGCAGCACCCTTGCCCGAGTTCCGCTCGCCCGCCTTCGACACGAGGGCCCGCCACCCGGTCAGTCCCGTCAGCGGCAAAGCCGCAGCTTCCGCATCGGAGAGGTGCTCGGGCACTTCTTCGACTTCTCCTTCCTCAATGGCGATGTATTCCTGCAACGTACCCTTGTCATAGACCTTGGTACCTCCCATAATGCGATAACCCGTCGCTTCTTCAGGTCCGTCCGGGGAGTCCTTCCAGCCCACGCCGGGGTTCAGAATCACCCGCTTGCCCTGCCATTTCTCCGGGTTCGAGACGTTGGGGCCCGCGCCAATCACTACACCCACGCCGTCGGCTAGCAGCGGCACATCGAATGTCACACCGGGGTAGAGGTGCTGGCGGAGGAAGAGATCCCGGTGATTGAGCGAGGCGGCCGTTAGCTTCACCAGCAGCTCTCCGCCCTGCGGCGATGGCTTGGGAACTGTGCGTAGTGACAGCGGGTAGTACACCTGCCCCGGTTTGCCGGGCTTGCCGTCAATGGGCGAGATATAGATCGCCTTGGACATTGTGTGTTCGGTGAGTGCTCGGCTACCGGTGCGGGGAATGTGGTGGTGCTTATCGATAATGAATGGAACCGGCAGGGTTGTGATGCTGAAGCTTTGGCACCCTGTGAGGAATTGTTGGAAAGGTGAGGATAAGACGATATCAAGATCTGAAACTGCGGGGGGTATGTCTGGGGTTCAGTGGTTCTTCCACGGTATGATATAATATAGGCTTCTCAGCCTCGGCTCGGTCCACGGGAAGGGAACAACTCCATTACTAATTGTCCAGATTAGTTAACTATCGACCCTCGGGAGCGACGACAACGATTATTGGAGGTTGGATGTCTGGTGAATAATGGGGATGTGAATTGCAGACAATAATCCTGCTCTCTATATGCAAAACATTTGGTTGGCTCTGAACCAGAGGATCCCAGGACAAACCAACAAAAACAGTACAACATTCATCGAAGATCTGCATCGGTCATCTCCTCCCATATCCCATTGCAGGCCGGTACGCCCACCACGAAGGGTAGTGGTGATGTGGGCATCGCGATTCGTCGGTGTCGCCGTCGCTGCCCGCTCCCACGTCCACCGAGATCTCGGACATCATGTCATCGTCAACGGAGTGGTATGCGACATCCGAATAGCAATCGCAGGTGCGAAAGAAGTTCGGACATCGAGCTTCCGTCTCTGCGTTTGAACGTCGTCTGCTTGAGCGCCTGGATCGGGCCATTTTGTGTCGGTGACTGTCATCCGAATGGTGCGGGCAAGGTACCGCAAGGACTGGAGATGCCGGGCAAGAGGCACCCTGATGATGATGATGATGCTCGCAACAATGCCCTTTAGGAGCCATGCAGCAACGGTGGTGCGGTGTTGCAGCTGAAGTCGCTGGCTTCGCCGGCGTATGAGCAGCCTTCAGGTGGTGGCCACAGCTACACTGTTCCTGGGCTTTGGCCTTTGCCGTCTTTTGGGTGGGCATGGGATCGTGATGGGCATGGTGGCATTGGCAGCGCTTCTTGGCCTTGTCGCAAACCGGACAATCGCTACCGCTCAAGGTACCGTGATGTTGGGCATGTTCATTGCATCCCTCACACCGACTGTGAGTTGCCTGCGCCGTTGTCGACTCGATCGAGGAGTCAGAGGAGCATCCTGCCAGCGACAAGGTATCTATATCGGGCACCCCGAGGTAGACCGGCCGGATGCGCTCGCCGTGCAACTGGCCTTTGTGGAGAGGCTTGCCTTTCCAGTACCAGGAGAAGGGGATGTCGCGGGTTGCATACTTCATAGTTTCAGACAGAGGGGTGTGCCTAAGTCTTTTGGCGAGAGGACAATGGGAGCTATATGTAAGTGGGATTGATGTCTTGTAGAACCGATCATGGTGATTCCTGTCTAACCCCAAGTCCGTATCAGAGTGGCACGAGACCAGAGGAAGCATCCGCCGCACAGTAGCACATCATCAAAGAGAGATTCCAGTCCGAATCTAGAGCGGAAGACAACAGGAGAAAGGGATGCGAGCTGCAGGTACCCCAGGCCGGCATGTCTCACGCTCCGTCTTTGTTGGGGCGTGCGGCAAGGGCTGCGGTGTTGATGGTGAAGCAAAGGAAAAGAAACACGTCCAAACCCACACAGCCAATCACGGGAAGGGCGTGTGTGTGTGGCGGGAGATACATCTATCCGGTTACTACCACGCTCATGCATATGTTTGTCTCTGCCAGATGGCTTTGTGGGCGACCAGGATCAGAGTGTGCTTGTATGCATGTCGGGAAAGTCACTGGTACTTGTTGTCTGGCCTGCTCGTCATACATTGTGCGTGTATGGAATACCTCTGTAATAGCCAGTACACGATCCCGCCCGCCAACGCGTGCCAGGGTTTGTCCACAATACTCCGTATTTACCGTACTGCCACGGCCTCCGCCAAACCCAATTTTGCTCTCTCAAGCGAAAGACTCTCTCTTTCTTCTCTTGCTCGATAGCCTGTCGCGTTTCTTGCATTCCGTTTTCCACCATCTCGTCTCCCTCCCTCCCCGCCAGCTCGTCGAACGATTGACCATCAGCGAATCTTGCTATCTTCTTCTCTTCCTTTCTTCTTCCCTTTCGTGTCTTGCGTCAACCCTCCGTTCGCAGCCACACAACTCCCAAAACCTCCAACCTCCTCAACAAGGTCTCGCGACGAACGATTGTCTTTTGTGGGGGATCAACAATCCACCTGTAGCATCCTCCGTTTCTCATAATGCCAACACCACTTCCTTCGAGTTTTGCTTCGGCCGCTGCTGGCAACACCCAGGACGCCAGTAGACGAGGGGACGGCTCCTCTGCCAGTGGAGAATGGTATGCAACTCTCGCCCTGTCTTCGCAGATGACTGGATGTCAGCTGGTCACACGACACCAATCTGGCCGTTTCTTCATCTGCACCTTTATTAAAGACGAGAATGTCTAATTTGCTTTTTCATGAGCTTTAGGTCCCGAACCCGCATGAACGGAGCCACCCAGACATTCCGTCGTCCGTCCGGTGCGACGAACCCTTCTCACCACCGCGAGAGCAGCCAGCCGGCCTCAGCTTCGACTCCCACTGCCGCCGGAGCGTACATCCCTCCCCACATGAGCTCAAATCCCTTGTCCGGCACGCTGCGCAACGGTGAAGCTCGGTACTCCAAGGAGCAACTTCTAGACTTCTATAAGGTGCAGCGGGAGACTGGATCCTTGGGCAAGAACGTGGAGGAATATTTCGTCGCCGACTGGGACCCTCAAATGGTGACACCTGCGGCGAACGGGGCGTGGGGGAAACGGGACGACCACAAGAATAGCTCCACTGGACCCGAGGTCTGCTGGGATCATGAGGGTCAGGTCGAGCCCCTGGGGCTTACGGAGATGACGGACGATGAGAAAGAGGTTGGTCACGTCCTTGGCTTTTTCTTCCTTGCCTTTCATGCTAACCCGGAGTTTCTTTACCCCACAGTTGTTCTCTGCCTCCGTCAACTCTCCTCTGAAGCCGCCACCGTCAAGTGCCTCCAAGGAACCCGCCGCTCCTGGAGTGGGAGGCCGCAAATCCTCCATCTCCTATACCCAGGGCCATATGAATAACTACAATACCTCTTCACCGACCACGGGGCGCCCTGGCCCCCGACGCCGCGAAACGAGCGAATCCACGGGCAACCCCATGTCTCCTACCGCCGGGTCAAACTCTCGCTTCTTCCGCGAAGAGGCCAGTACCTCCACCCCGCCACCTGCTCTCCTGCGCCGCAAGACAGATTTTCGAGATGCGCCAACTGCGGACAAGGCGAAAGATCCAACCGGCCGGGAGGGGGGCCCAGATGCTCCCTATGGGTCTTTGAAACGCAGTACCACCAACCCCTTGGGTGCAGGTGCCAGCGGGTCGAGTTCCCCTTGGGGAACGGCCTCGCAGAATGCGAACTTCTCCCCCATGGGCGCATTTGGAGCTTTCTCTCTTGGTGGTGCCAGCGCGACCCAGGCGGCCCCGGCCGAGAAAAAGGCAGGATATGGCAGTCTGCGCGGGGAAAGCAGGTTCAAGGGCCTGCTTTCCAAGGATAGCTCGGAGGACATCGCTGGGTCGGCAAAGGACAAGCCTTCGCTGAGCAACCTGGAACGACTCACTGAGAACGACAGTGGCAGCCGCTCCCAGTCGCCCTGGGGGGACGCTGTCAAGACCCGCACCGGCCGCAGCGACACGAATCCGTTCGAGGAGGGTCGCAGTGGAAGCGCCGCCCTTGGCGGGTCTCAGGATGTCGAGGCACCTCCCCAGGTGGCGGATCATGGTTTTGGCGCATTTGGCATGACCTCCAGCATCCCCGGTTTCCGCGAGTTGATGCAAAGCCAAGAGAATTCACGCAATCCAACTCCCAGTCTCCTCCAAGGCCACGAACCCACCAGCCCGACCAACACGAACCCCTTTCACAGCCCGCACGGCGATCGACAAAATGCGGAGGACGTGGATACTGACGGGTCAGACATTCAGCATTCTCAACACGCGGGCTTGAGTGGTCTCCGTGACACCTCCAATCCGTTTGGTTCGATGAGACGCGTTGGATCCGGAATGGACCTTCCCACCGTCGATCGCAGCCAAAACTCCAGCGCCAACGCGAACCGTGGCTTTTCGGGGCTTGGTGGCCTGGGTGGTCTCCCTTCTCTGGGGACATCCTCCGGTTGGCCATCCAGTGGTGCTGTCGGTACCCCGACTCGCGAACGTTCCGCGTTTCCGGGCGGCTTTGGTGATCCGATCTTTGGTTCCATGGGCGATCTGCCATCTCCCAGCTTAGCGAACCTTGGGGGAGGAGGTCTTTTCAGTCCACATGCGGGCGTTGCTGGCTCCGGCAGTATCGGACGATCGAGCAAGCTTGGCGCCCTGTTCTCGACCATGCAGGACGAGCAAGGCATGCCAGACATTGGCGAGATGGATGACGGACAGCAGGTGGACAAGCAGGCGAGTCAAGCTGGTTCCAACTCTGCGTCGGAGACCCCCGTTTCCAATCTTGGTGCTATCCCAGCCAACATGGCCGCCCACGATGTACCAAGTCAGACGCCTGGTGGAACCATGTCGGCTGCTCAGCAGCGGATGATGGTGATGCCCGATCGAATGCGCTGGATCTACCGCGATCCCCAAGGAAACATCCAGGGACCCTGGACAGGTCTTGAGATGCACGATTGGTTCAAGGCGGGTTTCTTCAGCCCCGATCTGCAGATCAAGAAGCTCGAAGATCCGGAGTTTGAGCCTCTTGCGCAGTTGGTACGACGCATTGGGAACTCTCGCGAGCCATTCCTTGTGCCGCAGATTGGTATTCCTCATGGCCCAGATCCCACCGGCGGAACGCAGTGGACTGCCAACAGCACCGCGGGCAACGCTCAGCCACCATTCCCTGGCAGTTTCCCCAGCTTTGGCACTACCTTGACGGCTGAGCAGCAAAATGCATTGGAGAGGCGAAAACAGGAAGAGCAGTACCTTATGGCGCGGCAGAAGGAGCATCTCGCTCAGCAGCAAGCTATAATGAAGCAGATGCACGTCCCAGGTGCTCCTCCTTCCCTGCAGCCCCAGCTCCAGCATCAATCCAGCGCGCACAGTCTTCACAGCCAACCTAGCTTTGGCAGCATCACCTCCCCGGTCGGCTACCAACCATCTCCGATTCAGGCCCCTCTGCAACAGCAGCAGCAAACCCAGCAGGGAGTCCCTGGCTTCTTTGATGCGGCCGGCTCTATCAGACAGGGCGGTGGATTGCCTAATGTCGGTCCGGGAATGCTTGGAACGGAACTCGGTGGCAGTCAGGATCAGCTCCCAGCCCTACTCGATCGCCTGAACGTGGGTCGCCAGGACCCATTTGCCTTTGGAAGTCCTACTTCGTTTGCTGCCCGTCAGCCTGACAACTTCGTCCAGTCCCAGCAGGTTGCGTCGATGCTTCAGGACCGCGCTCAGCTGCATCAAGAGCAAGAGCAATTTGACAAGGCGAATTCCAATGATCCGTTCGATCAGCAAGCACGCGAGGAACGACTTCGCCAATTCCATGCTCTCAGAGCTCAAGAAGGCGAGCTCGGTGGTCTTCCTACTCATCCTGCCGGGGCAGCCACCCAACAGCAACTTGAAGCTGAAGCTGCCGCTGGCTCAGAAGTGGCAGCTCAACAACTCGCTGAAGCTGGTGTTGCACCCCCTCTAACTCTCACCCAGCAGGTCCAGAAGACTGCATCCGCTCAGCGGCAGCAGCAGGAGGAGGAGCAGGCACAAGGGCCTTCTGAGTCGGCCTGGGGAACCATTAAACAAGACCATGCGATGCCTCAACCGTTCCCTCCACCGCCCTCCGCGTCGCCTCTGCCCGCGCCTGCCGCGCAGCGCAACCGCCAATACGTGGCTGAATCTCTAGCTGCAGGTTCCCGTTCCCAGACTCAGACTCCCGTTGACGCTCCGGCTACCTCTGTCGCCCCGTGGGCCAAGGAGACTCATGATTTGCCCAAGGGTCCGTCTTTGAAGGAGATCCAAGAAGCCGAAGCTCGCAATGCCGCCCAGCGTGAGGAGATTGCCGCTGCCGCGCGCCGTGCTCAGCTACTCGCCGAACAAGAGCGTCTCAGTCAAGTCCAAGCTCAGGCCGCTCCTGGTCTCCCCTCGTCCGCCAACTGGGCCAGCGCCGGATCACCTGCAACCCCGACGTCTGCTGGTTCCGTGTGGAGTAGCAAAGCTCTTCCCGTGGCAACCAACACCGCCACCAAGAAGACTCTCGCGCAGATTCAGAAGGAAGAGGAGGCTCGCAAGCAGCGCCTGGTTGCTGCCGCGGCCTCTGCGGCCCAGACCGCGACTCCTAGCCCTCCCATGTCCGCTGGCAAGCGGTACGCTGACCTCGCAAGCAAGGCCCCTGCCCCTGTTGCTCCCGGCGCCGTGGCCTCCTCTGGAGCCTGGACTACTGTCGGCGCAAGCGGCAAAGCCAAGGCCCCTCCCAATGCGCCGCTTGGCCCGCGCTCCGTGAGCGGAACTGTTCCTATCGCACCTGCTGTTGCTGCTGCGAAGGTCCGCCCTGCCGCTGGCACTCGCACTGTGACGACTGGGAGCCTGCCGCAGTCCAACTCCAGCAAGGCCGTTGAGGAGTTCACCAAGTGGGCGAAGCTGGCACTGGGCAAGGGGCTGAACACGAACATCAATGGTGAGTCTTAATCGATCATGATTTGTTTATATGTAGTACTAATGCGTTACTTCTTTATAGTCGACGACTTCGTCCAACAACTACTCTTCCTGCCTGCCGAGACCGAGATCATCTCTGATTCGGTCTACGCCAACTCCCAGACCTTGGACGGTCGCCGCTTCGCCGAGGAATTCATCCGTCGCCGCAAGCTCGCCGACAAGGGTATCGTCGACGCTGTCTCCCCGGGTGCCTTTGGCGAGCAGAAGAACGGCGGCGGCTGGAGTGAGGTCGCTAAGAAGGGCTCCACGGCGAGCATTGCTGCCGCTGCTGCTGCTGCCCAGCGCGAGGAGGAGAGCAGTGCCGCATTCAAGGTCGTTGCGCCCCGGAAGAAAGGCAAGCGGTAAACGGAGGGTGTGTGCGCATTGCAATTTATTTTACGAAGTGCGTTGGGATGGGGAGGTTGAAACTCGTTGCATTTCTGCTTTGAACGGGAGGGTATCTTTGAACTATTTGCCATCTCCATTTATCCTGCGTGGATAGATACGAGCCATTTTTGTTTTTTTGTTTTTTTGGCTATATCCTGCGCTGTATGAGTATGTGTCTCTGTCTGTGACTGTACCAACATCAACAACCACATTTAGCAACTACTTAGCGACCTGCAAATGCATTACTACTGGACTACTGTGTGTACTTGTTTCTAAAAGTGTGCTCAGGCCACCTGCCAACTAGACAGTTTCCATTCTCCCGATTCCTTTGTTGGTCGAGGATCACGTAGTTCACCGCTGATGGATGCGGCTGCGCCTCAGCATGAGAGTACGATGTTACAGTACCAAGTTAATGCTCACCGCACTCACGCAGCTTATCGTCGAGGAGAGAATAGAGTTTGTTCTCTCTAAGAATAGCATTGCATATGAGACTAGGATGAGATGAATGAGACCAGTCAGTCAGTCTGGGAAGCCTGAAGTGAGCTGAACTGACTGATCTGGCTTGATTGATTCCTGGTTCATGCCTATGCTCGGTTAGATCGTGTACACCCATTTGATAACTGTGCGTGTATTAACTAGTTACTCGCTTCTTGGTGTGTTCGCTTGGACGACAACTCCGTGTCCGTGTCCCGGTCCATCCTCTCGTCCGTCTCCACCTCGTGGCAAGAGAGAGAAGCGAAAAGAAATTCTCCGAGGCACAGGATCAACAAGCACGGATGTAATCCCCTACTCTCTCTGGTCCTCCCGGATCTGGTCTCCGAAAGGGGCCAATATGCCTTGGTCGTATGGTATTTTTAATTAGTCGTTCTTGTCTATTGTTCGGTTAATTTTTTTTTTAATTGTGGTTGCCTACACACTTGGCAGGAGTGGGAATCAAGAGAAAAAGTCAATTGTCCCCTATCCATTAATTCAGTACTCCGTAGTAGTGCAGCAGAACCAAAAGAGGCAAGAAAAAAGTGGGCTTGTTCGCTTGGTCTCGGGTCCGAAAAAAGAACTGAAGTCAATGATGGTCTCCATTATTATTTTTGGGGCAACCCAAGAACCAAACCAAACCAAACCAAACAACCAGCAGCAGCCCGCCCGCCCGGTGCGGAATAGTTAGCAGACGGAAGCTCAGGGAACCACATGGAGAATGAATCGGAGGCTGATCGCTCCCGAGGTCCCGACGGAAGAATTCCCCACTGATCCTAGTCCGGTTCGAGGCAAGTGTACACAGGACATGCATGCTCTTGGGAAAAGACAGGGGTTATCCCCGTGGCTCGTTCATTTCTACTATCGATCTGAAAACTCGAAAATCAGCACATTATTATTACACTGTGGTAAATAGGAAACAAGGCGAACAGGAGTTCGACGTCAGCTTTGTTGCAGATAAACAAATCCACGGTCGGCGCTGGCGCTACCGATCAATCTGAAACGGCCGTATAGAGACGATGGTTTCAAGCGCGGATGATCAAGGCGATCGTTGCGGGTTTCTTTTAGGGATTGAGAGGGTCAAGAGCAGTGAAGAATTACTGATATTATTCTTCCAGAGTCAGTGGTGTTATAAAGCGATTGTTCTGAGTGTCTATTCGGCGTTTTGTATATGTGGTGATGTAGTTGTGCTGGATATATATCGTGGGGGCCACGAGGTGGACGAACCCCTCTGTCAACGATAAACAATAGTTTCAACCCTAAAGCCTACAACGAAAACCACTGAAATCGTATGAGGCAAGACTTCCGTCCTACAATCCCGTCATTTATTCTCAAAAAAAGGTTTCCGGACTCCGTCCGCTCAAGATCCCTATCTGAATCAGATCGACGTGGCACAAACGTGCAGTTGCGAAAGATAGACCGATGATCGGTCTCACTTCCCCTGACCCCGAGTTGAGCCTGAGGGGAAAAGAGACCGAGAGGACACCGTCTCTACAGCCCTAGCGAGGAAGGTGGCTACGTACCATTCCTCCAGCTCGCTGGTCAAGCATTTACCCGCTTGAATAATTGTTTCTTTTACCATCATGTGTCAGTTCAGCTCCACGATACCACGCATGAGGATCTACAGTAGATGAAGTTACCAACACCACGAGTAATGGAGTGGCCATACTTATCCCCGTGCCGATACGCCAAGTCTCTTCAGTGAACTAACCACTGTGTATACTCCGTACATACAAGGATTATTTTCAGTTTGCGCCGCGTGCTACATCCAAGTGCGTATGCGATCACCAACACCAGCGCAGATCGGGCATCATCCAAGGTTGGCCGACTTGCCCGAACATGGGTCTTCCAACGGGATTGGTCTGACCTACCTGACCTCCTCCCGCGCGATCTTCATCGTTACTGAGACAGGCGGGTGGCTGTGAAGTTGGGAACCAGCGTGCTGGAGACTGGCACCGTGATGATCGCTTTGGCGGGAGCACAGAGACAAGGCTGGTTGGTCCTTATTCCGCCCCCGCCCTAAACTAAAATGTCAAGCGAATAGAGATTCAGAGCAATGTGAGAAAGTGAGACCTGCCAAGTGGACGGGTCAGGGACACGGCAAGATTCATAGAGTGCGCGGTTCAGTTGATGATTATGGGCGCGGACTTCTCAGATATGCTTGCTCGGCGCTACAGAATAGTATCTTTGACTCAATGCTCGCGGTAGACGGTGAACATGCTGCCAGTAGGTAAACTAGACGAGCGGAATGCTTCCAAAAGGTCACAGAACATGGAGGAAGACTGCCATCATCTGTTCGGTAGATGGGACGGGTAGACATCCGGCCTAGCAGCGTGGCAGAGGCGCAGGGGCCCACTAGGAGCAGGAAGGAAGGAAGGAAGCTACAGTAGCTACCTGCTGTATGTAGCAGCTAAGGGCAGCTAAGAAGAACGGAGCTAGCTCACAGATACCGGGGGATTGCTAAATACGGTGATTTGCTCGTTTCGCCAGTTCAGTGCAGAGCGTAGAGTTAAAGCTAAGACGGCGGCGCGACCAAGCGAGAAATCTGACAGCGCTGAGTGGTTCCTGCGATTAGTTAGAGTATGCTAGGGAGATCCAGTGGACGAAAAACTGGGGGCCACTATTGCCAGACCACAGGTTGTGGCGGAGAAACCACTTGCAAGCTATGAACAGCTACCGTTAATGGTAGGTCCACAGCTCGGGGGACTTCCACTAGTACGCACTGCAAAACCCCATGTGGGCATTAAAGCACCTCGCAGGACACAGAGAGCACGGGCTGAAGCACGGGGGATGTGGTCTGTCGCTGCAAGGGCTCTCTCTCCAGCGGGTTCACCTTCATCTCGGGCCAATCTCCATTACATCGTGATGCAAGCAAGGTTCTTGCTTTCTTTCTGATTCTCATGACCAATGGTGACTCCTACCCCGAGGAGAGAGATACAGGCTAATCAATGGAGTTCGATGAGAGCAATAGTGGATTTAATAATTAATTAATCAATCATGCAGTGGAGCAGGAAGAGCCGGCACCAGCCGGGCACAGTGGGAAATCCGGAGCACGGCTCCAACAGGGGTGGACGTCCGAAGCAGTGAACAGTAGTGCCCGACCTGGGATTTCCCTGGACGCCGGTGGAATTCAAAATGGTTCGCAAACGAATCGGGCACTTTTCTGTGTTGGCCGATGGGCTCCGCCTGTGGATCCCGGAAGCCGGTTGTCAACGGCGGAGATAGGGGGAATTTTTTCTTAACCCTTTGGGTCAATCCAGAGAGACAAACGCTATGTCCGTGACTATTCGTTTTATTTGATTTCAAGGGATAAAAATGAGGGGTGATTTGAGGTTAAAAACACTCCTTGCTGGGTTTAATTAAAGGTGGTTGGGGAAGCATGATGAGCGTTTGATCGTCTTCGGGGCCTACGAACCCCTAAGCTTTGATATGATCGCTGATCAATCAGCGCTCCACTGGCGCTCGAACCCGACAACCGAACAATGGCTCAGGGAAATCACCAACTCCGTGCTATCCACCACGGGTGACAGTCTCAACGTGGTAAAATCACGGAGGTTAGCGATGCTGGTCTCCTTGCACGAGTTCCGTACGCACAGCACATCGTGGTGGCTGGGGATCTCTGCACAAGGGATATGCATCCCAGCCGTTGTGGTCGGAACTCTCCCGAGCGATTGTATTTCCTCCAGTGAGGGAGGCATGCGGTCCTTGCCTGATGCCTGAGAGACTCGAGGGAAATAACCTACAAACTAATAATAATTCCCCTGATCACCAGCAAACCGGGGTGGATCGGCAGGGCTGATGCGGTCAGAAATGGTACTGGTATAGTAGTCACACTGGTTTTTTTTTTCTTTTGTTGTTGTTGTTGACGTGTTTTTTTATTTTTCTTTCCAGAAGGGGGCTAAGGTCGCATTGCAGAGTGATAGTGATCACCGACACGATGATACCCTGCTAAGTTTAGCTCGAGTCAGATGATCGCATGATGACGGCAAGCCCTAAGTAGGCTATAATACCGTGAATAGTACCGAGGAGTACAAACCCTAACTAACAAAGTGTAAAAGTGGTACCGTCGATAACATCCATCCCAAGGGTCGGCAAGTGTGATCCGATCCAAGTGCACGATCGGGCGCGCGAAAAAAGGAGCTGCAAAGCGTGCAGAGGATTGGCCGCCGCGATGACCCGATTGGGAATAACCTTGGATACTAAATATAACTAGCGCCGCAGCTGATGATTGGCTTAGCGGAACATGGATTATTCGAGCAAAGTCTGTGCCCGCAATGAAGTCAGCAGTCCCCAAGCAAATAATCCCTGGCTGTTCCCTCTCCACTTGGATGAGCGGCGCAGCCCGGTGGGTGGTGATGTACTGTATAGGAGAGAAAAGAGAGAGCCCGTATTTTGGTCCCTTCGGACACCCCGTAAACCCACTCGGAGCATGCACCGTATTGGATACTTCATCCAAGGTTCATCTACCCGATCAGCTTTTCTTTGTTAGAGGACCACGTACATGTGGTGAAGACAGCCGTCAGCAGCAGCCTCGAGGGACAAGTCAGCATCGTGATCGCCCTGCATTATAATTGGAACTCTCGCAGCCAACCACCGGGTCCGACGCGAAGGGCTGAGAGTTAGGACCCTGGGCCGTGTGTCACTTGAGATCGTACCACCGGTGTGAAGGATGTGGGCAGTACCCGTCCTAACCCGAGTCCCCAGTTCCCAAGAAATCAGCTGTGCATCCCCCGCCACGATCATTATTAGTTAGTTCAGGTATTGGCAGTGTATGTAACAAAACACCGCTAAACCAGTTAGGCCGGACTTTATGGGACTATGCTAATAATAATACCCTCGCATCATATATTATTATCGCCCTCGTTACTTTTTACCCTGGTCCCTTTTCTTCCTTACTTCGATTCCTCTTGACTTCCTCGCCGCTTTTCCTCCTCCTCTCTCCTCCCCCTTCCTCCTCTCTCCATCTGACAAGACCAGTCATTATTATGACTTGATTGTCCACATTCGCTCACCACCACACCACCCACGTTCGCTCTTACGCTCGCTACCTGCCGCCACGAGAACCACGTTCGCTACGTTTGTTTGACCATTTTAAAAAATCAAAAAAGAGAAACACGAGAAGCGAGGAACACTGAAACACACGGTCCATTATATCCGGATTATTTAATATTTAATTATCGATCGGAGACACCTTGCGCCCATTGCGGAGCCCTTGATCTCTCCTCGTTTTCACCGGTGGAGAATTACCCAAAGGCCCTGACAGCTTCGGAAATTGCTGTCCTTGAGGGAGAGAAGAAAAAAGAAAAATTTGCGTTTGCGCATTGCGATATCCAGGTTGCCTGTAGAGCCCGTTTGTCCTGCCGACTCGGTTTGGCCAACCAACGATTGACTTGAACTATTTGAATATTCTTTGGTCTATCATCGTCAAAGCTGCGGCGAAAAAACAATATCAACCGGAAGGAAGCGCGCTCATTCGTTGTGTCTCGGCTGCGGACACGGCATCAACGCCCTCTGAGTGGAAAGGTCTCAGTCAATTTGCAGAAGGACAGGCAGGATCAGGCTCAAGGTTAGTAAGAGAGACATTTACCCCTTCGCCCACGGTCTCACTCCCCCCTCGTGCCTTGCATTATGTCCATCCTTGCATCCGGAAACTCGTGCTGCTCGGGACCATCAACGGGCCCAAGAGATGACGAGCATCGATGGACCCGTGCCGGAGGCGTTCCCCGTCGATAGTCGAACCCCCAGATTGGACTGTTTGTTGTTAACATTAGTATTGAATAGACTATCTCGTCAACATTGAACTGGGAGTCCGAGCTGCGACATATTATCTAAAGACACGGACAATTCAGTCTCAGATTTTTTTCCATCTTCTTGATTCACCCGGTGAGCCCACACACCTTTGCTAGCCTATGCATCGATCCGTTGCTCTATCGCTTGCGGAAAAAAAGGTTCGTACTCATTGCTTTGGATAGTGTTCGCCATCGTCAGTGTGTCTGCCCAATCTGCTTGAAAGCGTTCCGAGACCTCGCGCGGCACCAGGAAAGAAAGAAAGCAAAACCCGTCCAGTCTGCGTTCACTGTCACCGGTATTCCTCAGGGGCAACCTCGTGGAAATCATCCAATCTTGTGTGACCATCTGCGCCGACCGGCGGTGGCTTTAGGGCTTTCCTTTTATGCGACAGGTTCCGCCGTCACGGTCTTTATGAGCCTTTGATCAGCGCGACCGAGATCTGAGTCTCTTTCTGCAGCCAGCCTTTGCTAGTCTCAGCTCTGCTGAATGGTGATTCGAGGCCTTTTGTTGCCAACATTTTTGTGAACCTGACAGCGGCTTCATTTCGTTGCTCGTTCTGTCTCGGAGAGTCCCGTTCTAGCGTGGTCTTTTTGACATTCAATCGTTTGGAGGATAAATTCCCAGTCATTCGCTTCTTTTCCAGGGTGTTCAGTCTTGTTGCAGACGCTGCAACACCTTCAAGCTGGCTTACTCGAAGACACACGGTGTTTTGGTGAGCCCATACCCAATTCCATTTGCTAGTTTCTGTTCTGGATGCCCGCATATTCCCTTCTGTCATCTTGTGTTTGAATCCATACCAACGAACTTCCTGCGTGTGTGAATACCCTGTACTGACTTTGTCCCTCCTATCCATCACAGTTCGACCCGGACTTTCAAACGCCTCTCGTTCTGGGCGAGTCCTTGGATTTCTCGGATCCTGAAGAGTCACAGTTTGTCGGTGCGTTTTCGGACGGCCAGTGGGCCAAGTCTGAGCCCTTCCTGTCGATGTCTGCTTTCCAGAAGCCCTCTGCCGGCACCATACTAGGTATGTCACCAATATTCCATCTTATCCTCACGCCTGTGCTGATACCCATCCAGATTACGGCTCCACGCGGTCTTTGCATGATGCTGGCTCCTACTCGACCTACGGCCAGTCGCCTTATGTGACGGCATCGCTCGTCCCGTCGCCCATGGCCGACCAGACCAGTCAGATCTCTGACTGTGTGCCTTACCTGCCCAACCACGAGTATGCTAGCTCATACGAAGAGGCTCAGTCGCCAATGATGGGTGCTCGGCCTCAACAGCTGCCTGAGATCATCTCCTATACTCCCCAACGTGGCTCGGAGGGCACGCGAGTTTTTGTCCAGATTCAATCGCCCTATGACCTGCACAGCTCTGCCTATGCAGAGTTATACTTGGTCTTTGGGTCGAAGAAGTGCGAATGTGTCCCCCACTTCCTCGGGTTTCAGGGTACAGCCTTCCAGTACGTTCTCTCGATGGATGCCCCGCCGTTCCTGTCTACAGGTTCTCCGTCCTTTGCTGTGCCCTTGCAAGTCACTATGAGCACTCAGAGCGATTGCCCTGCCACCACTCTTCAAGTCGGTGTGTACACCTATGAACATGTGCCCCAGCCGTCGCCCTCGGGTGATTCTCGCAAACGCAAGATCTCTTCGATGTCGGAGACCTCGACTGCCTCGATTGCCAGACCTGTCAAAAGACACACGGCTTCGGTGTCCAAGATCGAGCCGCAGGACAGCTACTCGTACCGTGAGAACCGATCTGCATCTTTCTCGCCGTATCTGCAGCCCCTCCCGGCCATGGTACCATTTGTCACGCCTTTCCACCCTGGCTCCTCTCCTCGAACCAGCATCGCTCAGTACTCTACTGTCTCCGCACCCCAGCCTACCATCCGTGCACCTTCGCCTCTCACTCCGTCCTGGAGTCCTTCCTACGTGCCCGTCAGTCATGAAGTGCGCAACCCGGCACTCGCCATGGCTCAAGGGATCGCGCAGCACAAGGGACCATCGCCAGTTCGTTCTTCCAACCCGACTCTGATGCGCACCTCCACCCTTCAGCAAGGGAACGGCCTGAGCCAGAGCCAGCCATTCAACCCGTATGCCATGTATCCCTCCAAGGCTATCCTCAAGCTCAACGGAGATCTGGATGCCATGGCAGA